TATTTAAAACAAATTAAAAATTTAATTTCCCAAAACTTACTTAACATGGCATGTAACCAACCTTATTACGTCAAGGTTTTCAATTTTTTCAATAATACAAAAATTGCTTAATCCGGGCCCGACTTTTCCCTTTAATCTAACAGAGATAGCACCATTCCGTCTTGCTTGGTTCTCGACCGCCAGATCAAAGACACCGACACGGAGTTGTGGAGCTGTATTGTATAAGCTGTGGTTATAACTTTAAACGGCAAGGCACCGACGATGCACGAACGACGATCGTTTAGAGAATGAAAAAATCACTTACTCGCTATAATGGTGTCTCTCCTAAATTTTATGCCTTGCCGAAAATTCACAAACCTACTTTATCAGTAAGACCTATTGTTTCTTGTATTGGAGCTCCTACAGAATTTTTAGCTACTTATGACCGACATTTTAGCTAAATCTTATGATTATAACAATGATTACTACATAAAAGACTCTTTCGAAGGAGCTAAATTATTCAATAATATACAATTACCACCAGGGTATATAATAGCGAGTTTAGATGTGGTCTCTTTATTTAGTAATGTTTATCTTGATGCAATCACAGTTAATTGGCAAAAAATTGAATCATTCTGTAATATATGATACTTTCATTGAAATAATAACTGTTTTATTTAACAGCACTTATTTCTCTTCTGATAACAAATTTTACAAACAAACTTCTGGTACTCCAATGGGGGCGAGTATATCCCCAATTATTGCAACATACGTGATGGACAATATTCTAGATCAGCCATACTCAACCTGCGGCCCTCCAAGCTGTTTTGTGCGGCCCTCCAAGCTTTTTTGTGGCCCTCCAAGCTTTTTTTTGTGCAGAAATAGTATATTGTGTCACAAGGGCAGAAAATGAGCTTTAGCAGCTCACGGCTATTAACTGCATGATCGAAGCGAAGCGAGGACAGCTGATAGCTAAGGGCTGCTAAAGCATTGTCTGCATGTGTGACAAAATTGTTTTTCGCCTACAAAAAAAAAGAAGGAAAATATAACGAAAATCTTTAATTTTACAAATACAAGAAACTTAAGTAGTAAAATGTACGAGTTTATTTATTGTAGTAATTAATGTTTTGATCTTCCAGACAGATAAGCAAGTACTACATTTTCAGTTAGATTTTTGCTTTTCTACTCTTTTTCCAGTTGTTAAATAATTCATAGTACTTTTCGTACCGTTCTCTTGACTTAGTAGGTAGTAAATTTAGAGAAACATTGTTGGCTTTCTCTTGCAAGTTTGGTGAAGTATTTGTAAATTCTTCGTCACTGTCTGAATGACTATTCATATTCACTAAATAGACACTGACGTTTAATCAAATTTTATGTGAAACGTCAAAGTACGCAAGTGACAGTCAAAGGTATCTAGATATCTAGTGAAAAACTATAAAATCGGGCTGTTATGAGTTTAGCAGCCCATGGGACGATATACGTTACTTTCGGTCATATTTTTAGGGTTGATATGATTTATTTTCACATATGGTAGGCGAAAAAATATTTAAAGCGGATCCCTTTATCTCTATCGTCACCAGTCCCTTATTTACATTTCAAAAAGGTGGCAACTCTAGTTATAACCCAAAAATATTGTGGCCCGTGTAGCATAACAAACAGATTTATGTGGCCCAAAAGAAAAAAAGGTTGAGAACAGCTGTTCTAGATACAGTCATACCTGTCTTATCCTTCAACGTACATTTTTTGAAAAAATATGTCAATAACATATTTGTTAGCTTTCCCGCAGAAGGTATTGATGAGATCTTGTTTACTTTCAACAGCTTCGGTCCACACATACAGTTTACTATCGAAAAAGAGGATGGTTCTGGTTCAGTTCCATTCCTTGACACGAGAATCATTAGACATCCTTCTAGTAACAGGCTAAAAGTTGATTGGTATAGAAAACCATGTAGTTCAGGTAGATATATTAACTACAAATCACATCACCCAATCCTATTCAATTCTAGTAGTATTGTCACTGATGTTGCAATCCATGGTAATAACGATAACATCAATATTAATTTAGTAATTGCTAATAATGTAACAACGATATTACAAAATGGACCAATTCCCAGAACATCAACAAATACTCAGTCCCAGTAATTGTGTAAGATATATTTCGTTACCGTACATAAAGGATCTTATTCCTAAACTGATGAACATTTTGAATACTAGAGATAACATCAAAATTGCAAATAAAAATGTTTTAACTTTAGGCTCTTTATACAAAAAACAAAAAGACAAAACCCCTCAGCTGTTCCTATCGAATGCAGTTTACAGAATCTCTTGTACAAATTGTGATTTACAATGTTTCGGAGAAACGGGCACACGAATTACATCACACAAGAGTGACTGCAGACTACACCCGGAAAGATGTGCACTTGCTACACATGTCTCAAATGAAGGACATAACATGTCTTGGGAATCATCGGCAGTTTTAATTACTGAATCTAACCTTGCAAAAAGAAAGTTCCTAGAAATTACATTAATAGCACAAAACCCTAAAAACATGAACAAAAAAACAGACATACATCTTAGTGAAATTTACCAAAATCTTTTATCAAAAGACAAACCGTTACGAAATTAACATATTGTGTCATCTCTTGACTCCTTGTAATAAGTTATTTTATAATGAATTTGTAAACATTTTTTAATTCATTATTTATAACTTTAGGAAACCTGCCAATATTCAAATACCAGAAGGGCCAAAATCCGGGAAAATAGGGAAATACAAAACGAATTAATCTGGTATGCATACGGTTCGAAGATGAAAAACGGCACAGAAGTTCAGGGAGTCATTAACAATAGTCTTCCAGACTAAAGTAACAGCAATAAATGCCCGCGCCAAAGTTTGTTAAACTCTTTTAGAGATAAGAGAGGGTCTTTATTATTACAGAGTCAGACAGCAGCCCTGAAAAGGCTAGAAGTACAATCTGAATTAATATTTGATTGTCAACAGTCCCTCCAGGCCTTGGTAGAACAAAACAAGGCCACTCTTGAATGGGTGCCGGGATATGAGGGAGAGTTTGGAAACGAGAAAGCAGACTTTACTAGCTAGAGGTAGCTGAAAAACTCTAATTGGACCAGAACCCATATATGATGGTATGTCATACCAACATGTTAAATCGATGCTAACAGAATAGATAAATATAGAACACCATAGGCTCTGGTTAGAACTTCCTAGTCTTAGTCCAAAATATTCATAGATGGTCCATCCAAGAGCAGACAAAATCAACTGCTAAAGCTTAGCAAAAGCGAACTAAAGGCCGTAATAAGACTTTACGGGACACTGCGGCCTTAGAAGACACCTAAATATCTTAGTATATGATGACTCCTTATATAAATATGTGAAGAGGAGGACGAAACCTATATTTACATACTACATTGTCGGAACCTTAAATGGAAACGGTAACACTTCGGGGTACAATATCCGAAACCTGAAGAAATCGCGAAAGCACCCATCAGGCATATTCTTGAACATATCAAGAATATTAACATTATCGAGTAAAAGGGGTACAATAAACCTAGAGCTTCAGTACGAGTGGGCTTTGAACCACACCCTAATTCAGATAGAAATAAGATTAATTTGGGAGGATACACAATAGAAATAGTGCGGCCTAAGTGCAGTGAGGTAACCCATCCTAAACACGTTACAGATACAGAGAAAATAGAAAATGTTCCTACCTACCTTCGATATTTAACACCTTTCTGGATCACTCTGTATAATTGAAATTGTTTTTAAATTGTTAACTTTTCTGATATAAATTCTATTTTCTCATCGTATTCTATAATTTACCTTTTTTCCTTCTGTAATTATTAAATAAATATTTGAAAACATTTTGGCAAAATATTTTATTTTTTATTAACTAAAACTTACCTTCATTTTTTGAGATATATCCGAGCGCTAATTGTATAAATGGTTTACCGAGTATTTTGCCATAACGCCACAAATACGAAACACAATAAAACGTACAAACGAGATCCGAATGACACTGATAACTAATTATCCGAATCCGTTATATTACATAAAAGCAATATATGTTTCAGGATGCATCATTTTAGTTGGCAACAGCGCTGGATCTCGACTTAACCGTTTAATATCCATATACGTGTATAACGGATCTCGCCTATTCTGTATGTTACTTGGATCTCGACTTATTTAAGGCTTTTATTTTAAATTCAAACATAACTTTTCTTTCCCCTCTGAGGTGGCACTATTAAAGATTGTTGAATGTAATGCATTGTTGACAAATATACTCGCAAAATTGTAATATTTGATGAGGATCTCTGGTAGTCCAAGTTTTATCCAGATCTTACCTATAACAATTTTTTTTATATAAACAAGTCCTCAAACCAATTTGGAGCTATGGTAATCAACTCTGGAGTTGTGCCAGCAACAGTAATATTTCAGAACAAAGTATTGAGGAATATTGTCGATGCTACTCGGTACATTAGAAACAGCGACTATCATCAAGACCAGACTATCACGAGATTCGCTAGGAGTCACGAACAACGGATCCACCAACATGTGAACATTGAGGCGAACCAGCATTTTGCCAACACGAACCTGACAAGAAGAAAAATTTTTCTTAACAAAAATTAAAAATCGAATTTTCTATGTAAGCACCTGAATCACTATCTGACGGTCTGTTAGGTTAAAACAAAATTATTCATTGATCAACTTTTGATCAGATTGTAATATTAATAAAGGCACTTTTGGAGTTTTTTTTTTCAAAAAGAAAAAATAAATAAATGGAAAAAAGCAATAAGTTATGATTGAGATGAATGTTACATATTTATTTTAGGTACCTGCATCTAGCTAAAAGGAATTATTACAAGTCATGAAAAAAAAAAAAGGTACGAAAAACAAACGAAAGAAAGGAACGAAAAAAATGCATGAAGAAAAAAAGGAATGAATAAAAAAGGAACGTAAAAAGGTACGAAAAAAAAAAGGAACATAAAAGCAACAAAATAATTATTAATTAAATTCGAATTTTCTATTTATATACATTATTTTCTTATACCTACATTAATAATATTTAAATAACTTAATTCACAAACGACATTATTAAATATTACATACACTTGTGGTGGTTCTGCGTTCTAATTTTCTTGTGCACAGCAGTAAGACCAGAATGATGCCTTTGGGTGGGCTGCATGGCAGGTGTCTTATTTGTTTTCCTTAACAGAGACGAACTCGGACTTTCGAACCACAAATCTAAAGAATACAAATTCGCCAACTGCCCCAATTTCTCACGCTCAGCTCCGTATAATCGCAACTCAGACTTCGAAGTATCCTGCAAAAATTTTGATACTCTTTCGTTTGCGCTCGTATTAATACTGAAGCCTGGTCGTTCTTCCCTTAACCGCCTGCAACCTAAAATACGTTAAGTAATAACTGTAGCCTTTCTAGTTAAGTAAAAACTAACCTGCTCTTATTTCCCTTGGGTCGGAATCATTGAACGATTGATCCATCGTTGACGAATTGTCCAATGATGGGGCCCAATCTGTGAGTTCATCATCGCCTTCGTGACCTTCTCCGCCGCTCCAACTGATGCTGCTCTCGCTGGCTACTTCGCAGTTCTCATCGAAACTTTGAGTCTCCATTGAATTGACCTATATAATATTTAGGAAAATTTAATGAAAACTATCCATGTTAAATTAAATAATTTTAAAGGTGAGGCATTTATGATAAAATGCAAAAATAAGTCAATAAAAACATATAAAGGGAGTCTTTTGCTCCACCATCATGTTTTTTCAATGGAACACTCTGTATATTATTGCATTTTTCTATTCGCATGTAATATTCGATTCCAAAATAAATAAAAATAAATAATAAAAACTAATAGAAATTAATAAATATTAATAAAACAAAAATTATTAAAAATTAATAAAAATTAATAAAAATTAATAAAATTAATAAAAATTAATAAAAATTAATAAAAACTAATAAAAATTAATAAAATTTAATAAAAATTAATAAAAATTAATAAAAATTAATAAAAATTAATAAAAAATAATAAAAATTAATAAAAACTAATAAATATAAATAAAATTTAGTAAAAATTAATAAAAATTAATAGAAATTAATAAAAATTAATAATAATTAATAAAAATTAATAAAATTTAGTAAAAATTAATAAAAATTAAAATAATAAAAACTAATAAAACATTTTTTCAGGTTTGAGGAATTCCAGCGAAGCGGGATCGGGTCAGCTAGTATTAAAATATAAATGGATGAGCGGTTAACAATCACATCCTTTTAAATAGTACATTTGACATTGAATGTAGGATTGTCTCCATATTGCTAAACAGGAACAGATGGTTTACTTGTAAATTGAATTATATTACATAAATTTCATTGAATTTTTCTATAATCCTCATTGCAATATGTACACAGAACATTTTTCCAATAAATTATTTATAACCATGTGAAAATAACATTTCAAGAACGAGAAAATGTATAAAACCGGTCCTGTTTGAACAGATCTAGGAAAATCAAATAGGTTTGTCAAAGTTTTGTTCCTAATTTGAAATTGTGCGTCTCACTCACTTATAACTAATAACAAAGTGCAGATTATCGGTGTTCACTATTACAGAATACACAAACTAAAAATCAGTGCAGCCAAAACATAAATCTATCTATCATGGCGGCCAGCTTGAATGGGGACTTTTTTTGGATTGACAGCATACGCATAGCGGTATCTAGATTTCTGAGGGCTATGATGCACACACATTCTAACTATTATAAAGAATAATGCACGTTTTAATGATGTAGTAAAGGATATTATAAATTTAGCAAAATATTTTACTCCTGATGATTATATAGTTATTATGGCAGGCTAAAACGACTTTGTAAAATCACAATCTCCATCTTTTAGAAACATTAATGACAATCTTAAATAATGTACACACACACATATAATTCTTGCTTCTGTTCCATATAAAGTAGCTCATTATAGTGGTATTAATAGGTGCATCTTTAAATTTAATAAGAAATTGAATGATTACCTATCTTGAGATAAATGATAAAAATGGTAGTTGTCTAAAAAAATCAGAAATAAATAAAAAAATAAAAAATCAAATAATCAATCTAAACAAAAATTTTAAAAGTAATTTAGTGTTTGTAAATAATTCCAAATAAAGTAATTTTTTAGAACCACCTCTGGAAACAATAGACATATAGCATATAGAACTGCAAGTCCTATAGATTTTATATCTTAACACTCAAAGTTTGCCTGCATATTTAGGTGAAATCAGATATTTAATTAATCAAAAAAACCAACTATTGTTTGCCTTTCTGAAACACATGTAACAGAAGATATTTATAATTCAGAAATTAGTGTAGGTGGTTATGCAGTTAATAGAACTGACTGCTCTAGTAGGCATACTGGTGGATCTATATAGTTACATAAGGAGGATTAAAAATATTAGTCTATAAAGTGTGTGAAGATAAAATTTATTATTTATTTCAAAATAAAAAAAATAAATATATTTTATATAGATCTCCAAGCAGCAGATTCTTGGATTTGTTTGAAAATTGGTTTGAGAGTAATATTGGTGAAACAAACGATATAATTATTATATGTGGTGAATACAAACTGGATAGAGGATACTATATGCAGGGTGTCTGTAAAAGGTCTTTACAAAAACATACCACATATTCCTTAGACCTAAATAAGTAAAATTACCTTAGTACAAAGTTGCTTCTTTTGGGCTCCAGAGGGCCTTGAAGTTACAATTTTTAAATCGTTTTTCCCATATAAATTTAAAACGGCATATGCGATTTTGCTGAAAGTTGGTATATTGGTAGAGTTTTATGTGGCAAAAAAAATGGTATTAAAATTTTGTCCGATAATAATACATAGGCGTAGAACTTGATTTTTTAAATAATTGCACCTTTAAAAATTCTACTCCAATGGAAGAAAAGGAGTTTGAGTATGAAATTTAGATTGCGCAACTCATTTACTTTAGAAAAGGTACTCTTGATAAGACTCAATTACTCTCATGGTTTTGACGAAATTTGCATTTTAGTAATTTTAGAACATAAACAATAATTATTAAAATCCAAACTTTGTCAAAACCATGAGAGTAAATCGAGTGTTATCAAGGGTACTTTTTTGTAGTAAATGAGTACCCAATCCAAATTTCATACTCAAACCCCTTTTTGCCATTGGCGTAGAATATTTAAAGGTGCAATTATTTAAAAAATCAAGTTCTACGCCTATGTATTATTATCGGACAAAATTTTATACGATGAAAAACATAAAAATGTTCTTTTTTCATATCTTCTTCAACACCTCTAATCGAGACTTTTAACAAAAATACTCGATTCTTGCCATGTACGATTTTTTGAGGAATATTAACTATTTGCCTGCAATACGTATACAAAAACATTTATTGTTGGTTTCCATAGTTTCATCTAAATAAAAATATTGTCAAGTTTTAACACCTAATCTCTTGTTAACGATTGAAAGTGTTCTATCTGACTCAATAATTAAAAAAACAAATGCGTGGTTTATTAATATGGCTGTACAATATACCAATGCAGAATATACCGATATGTTACTGACATTAGGATTTTGTGAAGGAAATGCTCGAGAGAGTGTCAGGGTGTACTCTGAAAGGTTTCCAAATCGTCGTGTACCTAGCCACCCAACTTTTGCTGCTGTTGAGAGACGTCTTCGGGAGACCGGTTCCTTTGCTCCCAACACTGTTGATAATGGAAGAGAACGTTTTGTAAGGATTCCTGAAGTTGAAGAAGACATTTTAGAACGTGTTGAAGAAGATCCAGAATTAAGCACCAGACGAATTGGAAGGGAACTAGGAGTAACTAAAGATGTCGTTCATAAAGTGCTTAGAGAACAATTCCTATATCCATACCATAAGAAGCCAGTACAAGAATTATTAGTCCATGATCCTCAAATTCGTTTGGGTTTTTGTCGATTTGTTAATATGCAAAGAGAAAGAGATCCAAACTTTGTCAAGAAAGTTCTCTTTACCGATGAAGCGGGTTTTACAAGAAGAGGTATAACTAATACCCATAATGAACATGTTTATGCCGTTGAAAATCCGCATGCAATAAAGGTAAACCATTTTCAGCACGAATTCAAAATTAATTTGTGGGCTGGAATAATTGGTAATTTCATTGTTGGTCCTGTCATACTTCCACGAAGATTAACTGGAGAAAATTATTTGGATTTTCAACAAAATACGTTGCCAGAATTGTTAGAAGATTTACCTCTCCAACTTCGGAGAGATATGTGGTTTATGCAAGATGGAGCTCCACAACATTTTTCTTTAAACGTTAGAAACCACTTGAATGAACAATATCCACACAAATGGATAGGCAGAGGTAATGACGCACCTGTAAACTGGCCACCACGTTCCCCAGACGTAACACCGATGGATTACTTTTTATGGGGACATCTGAAATCCACAGTTTACAGGGAACCTGTAGAAAATGAGGAACAACTCTGGCAACGTATTCAAGATGCAATAAACAGTTTAAAGTTATATTAACGATATAATTAACAATGCGGGTAGATGTAAACTTCGTCTATTTGCTGATGATGGCCTTATAGATTTTTCTTGCGAAAGTAAATGACACTTCAGAAGAGGTTTACAAGTATTGTTGTGCGAAATTGTTTAAGGTTAATGTGAGTAAAACAAAGGGGATATTGTTGGGGAATAGTAAAAAGTATGAGTTGGGTAACAACTTAAACTTAAATATAAAGATAGAGAATAATGGCATTGAACGGGTTAATAAATTTGTTTATCTCCGCGTAACATAACAATTGATAGCCAATAATTACATTTTAAAGAACATGCGTAATTTTCTATAATGCATATTTTGGTACTAAGGACGGGAAGCGACCGGGGTCGAAACGCCGTCCGCAGCCGTCTGGCCAGCACGAATCGTTAAACCAGAATGAAACAAATAGACTACAAAAAATGCAGAATCGTGCTAAGCGCATAATTTTGCAATGTTCAAAGTTCACTCCTATAAACTTGAAGTTAGAAACACTAAATTGGTTGCCGATAATAAAACTCCTTAAGTATTACACACTCATTTTTATTTATAAAGCCAAAGTTGATCAGGCATCAGCACACCTGCAGGATAAGTTAACTTATAACAGTGAAATACATAATTCTGTGGCCGGCGCTTAAGTCTATATACTGTAACCTACCGCACCCAGGTACCATAATCATTTATTAATTCCATTTTATTAAAATGGAAAAAGTTGCATTCTTATTAAATACAAAATCCTTCATTTAACAAAATTCTCCCAGACAATTAAATCTTATTTACGACACCTAATAAATAATATCTATAACCCAGCCCGTAAGAGATCCAATTTTTTAAAAGTATCTGGGAACGCAATCTAAAACCACCATACAACATAAGTTACCACGAAGTAATAATTATTAACTCTTAACGCACTTATCTTAAGTCAGTTTTGAATAGGAATGTTGTTTTCGATACACAAACTTTCCAAGGCAAGTAATAAATCAGCCACCCCCTATCCACCTAAATTCGTTCACTGACGTCACCAAAAAACTAATTAAATCGTGTATAAAGATCCGATTAAAAGGGACCCAAAAGGCATTAAGAAATCAGACTCAGTCCAGTTGATTTCAAGCTCCAGTCGCATATTCTTCGAATCTAATATAATTCTAGTTCAGTACCTTTCCTAAACCCACGCAGTTCATATCCTACCTTTATCCGACGCCCTTTAGCCCGACCAACTACCTTTCAAACGTTGCCACGTCTCGACGCTCCACGTCTCGACGTTCGACGTCTCGACGCTACTACGTCATCTCTTTTATCAGACGTCCCCATCCGACGCCCAATATCTCATCTGACGCCCTACGTCCTCACTTATCTACCTTCCTGCGTTTGGCGTTCTGCGTCACGAAGCTCCTTCTCCGCCACGCCATTCTAAATTTTGACGCCAATGTCTCAACGTCCCTGCTAATTATCCCGAATACAAAAATATAAAATGTCTGAAATAGAAACAGACGATAATATAAACCCAACGGTGAGTTAATAACAATTAAATTAAATTTGTAAAAATGGGAATTTATTGTTGAATAATAATGAGTATTATTGTGTAACTCATTATTATTCAATAATGGTTAATCTTTACATTTGAGGAATTTGTTGCTCGCCGACATCGCATTTAGCTCGTCCAGATGTGTATGCTATGGGCCATATTGCCTTCAAATTAATATATCACCGTAAAAGATAATAAGAATTTGGTTACCGAACTCTGTCAATGAATCCTCGTAAATAAGAGCTCAGCTGATTGGGGTAAATGACACATCGGACGACTAGACTCACATTTATCCGAATATGCTTGATGTTACTACAGGGTCGGACTATCTTAGATAATTATCTCTCAATCTTCGCACCGGAGGTATATCTGAACATAAGGGGTAGTTCGCTAGTATTGATCTGGCTCTATTCTAGTAAGACTACATCTATATAAAACCCCCCTAGGTGATGCTGAAACATAAGGGATATCCGCCTGTTATTGCAACGACGGTATCTCAGTAAGCGCACCTATATAAAAAAGAAAACAATGAAAGAAAGAATTATTAAAGATAGTGCAATTCTGAGGACGTCTGCTGTCTATTATCAAGAATTGTTTTATTACAAATATTTGATGACAAGTGGCCTGTTGTTTGGGCGTGACACATGTAAGGTCTACCTTATATTAAAGTAATCTGTACATACTAATTTTATTGGAGATCAAAAAAATAAATTAGGTTAAATATATTTGAGCATTATTTCATTCACAAATTTGTACCAAACTTTGCATCGAATCCTGGTTTATTTTAATTAACATTATCACAACGTGGGTATAAATTATCAATTAATTAACTAGACGATCACTACACTACTAGAGGAAAAGGCCATATACATTAAGTATGAATTTCTTTGAATTTCACAAGGGGAGGGAGGTAGTTAAATTAAAATACGGGCTTTTAATAATTTGGAGTGAGGGTAGCCATATGTGAGTAGTAGGGATTAAGTGTAAAGGTTAAAGAAAAAGTCCTTTATTTCTCACAAATAATTAGCTACAAGACCGGGGGGTGGGAGGTCACAATACTTTGTAAAGTAATAAAAATAAGGTATAAAAAAACATATATAATAATAAAAGGGTAACCGCAAAAGACCAAACGTCATAATTAAACAAACAGTCAAATTTTGTTATATAAAACCGTTAAAACAAAATATTTCTACATATTTTTCAATTTTTATAGGACCAAATCTCCTAAAAATATCGTCGATTTGGATTTTAAAAATCCTTATTGATGTGTCCCAAAATTTTCCAGCGCCATTCTCCAAAAATGTGTAATATGGACTCATTACTTTTTAAGCGCCGACCACAGAATTATGAAACTAGAGCCAGGCGCAACTTTCATATACAAATGTGTAGGAAAAGTAGTACATTTAATTCAATTTTTAATAAGGGCATGATTATGTATAATAACCTACCAAACAATATAAAAGACAGTTCATCTTTATATATTTTTAAGTACAGATTAAAGGAACATTTTCTGGCTACATAAGTGTTTTATTTAGTATTTGTGTATGTACCTAAGTTTTATTTATTTTTAATTCTACTTAATATTAGTTGAGATGATATTGTATGTTTAAAGTTATATAGTGTAAATGAATTAGTTTTTGAAATAAAGAGATATTCGCCTATGTGATGTAAACAACCTCCCTTTCACCTTGGCTAGCCATCGGTTTGTTAGTTCTCCAACAAAACAAATCATATGATAAAAGATGATAGTTACTTATCTAGTTAACAAATTATTTTTTAAATCGGTTTAATTAGTAGTGTCTTATTTTACCGACGGTATCCACATTGTAGTTTAGGCAAATTTCGAGGTCAAACGAACTTGATACCAACTATGTAAAGAATTACGACGTTGGTATGGTAGAGTGAATTCGATCCCCACCGAAGCAGATTTTTTTCATTTTTTCGTCCCCCATTTTAAAAAAATAAACAACACTACGTTGATCTATACATACTTACATCGACTGCACTGGATGGTAGACAGAATTTTTCAATTTTATCGACTAAACTTTGATGTAATGGTTTGATCTTTACGCCGTGCCTTATAAATTTCCCGTTATCCACGATTTCCAGTCTTTGAGACCGTTTCCTCTTTCCACAAGGAGCCACAGGAGTTTGATCAACACTCATCCTTTTAAATTTTCGTTTCCTTCGAATATTTGGTCTAGCTGGAGAGTGTTCATTTACAGAATCACTTTCTAAGCAATGATTGACACCTAGAAAAAAACCTTTATTAGTGCCATTAAATATGTTACTGTTTTTAAACTAAACATACTTTAGATAGTTCACTCGTACAATGGAATGGCCTTTCTTAAGAATTCAATAAAATTGAAATATAAAGTTAACGAAAGTGTATTTTACGTAACTAAAAAAAATTAATTTTTTGACTGCCTATGAAACGAGATATTAACAATCAAAATGTGCATAATTAACACTCTTGAAGCCTGTCATGTACACAAGCCATGTATTTATTTCAAAATATATCGAAAACGGTTCTTACTATATTTTTTAAAAACTAATGTAATGTAAATCAAGAAGTTATAAAATTTTCTAAAAAAAAAAACGTTGAATTTTTTGACCTTCTTGGTAAAAAGATATAGATTTTTAAAATAAAAATATTTTTAAAACAGTCGACATGTAGTTAAGTACAATGGTTACAACTTGGCAACATTGTAATCGCTATACTTAACGCGCGGTAACTGAATTGCACTTGATCAGCTAGGAATTAGGTATAACCTCGTGACATGTTCTTGAAATCCTAATTTGTTCACTGTATTTGAGAACTGGAATTAATGGTTGTTTGAATCAAAACAAACCCCTAAAATTAGTATGAGGAAGTCACAAATTTATATAACCCATCATTCATATATTTGCGACGTTGCCAGATGGATTTTACTTGAAATTATAACGTATCCGTATATATAAGCTTAGATGTGTTGTGTACGGATCTACGAAAAAAGGTCGCGAACATTTGGTCGCGCGAAAAAATGTCGCGCACAAATAGGCGCGTGTCAAAAGGTCGCCGGTGAAAAAAGAGCGCCGACGAAAAAAGGTCGCGAGCAATTGATCGCGCGAAAAAAAGGCGAGAAGGAAAATAGCGCGTAACAATGTTGATATTTCTATTATCTTTTATTATCTTTTAATCCCAATGAAAAACAATTATTGGTCTTGAAGTGTTATAATGAGGCCATCGTAATAAGAAAGGTTTGGTAAAATTTAGTATTCATAGATTTGTTTTGAAAATCTTTATATTGCAGGTAACCTTTTAAAGTATGTCTCTAATACCTATTTATTAAAAAAAAACGATTTGTTTATTATTACTTTAGAAAATTACCAATAAGCTGGTTACTTATTCTAAGTAAATCTTATTACAAACAACCCCGTTAGCTGTTAATAAGGCTTTAATGTTGTTATTTCTATTATTATCTTTTAATCCCAATGAAAAACAATCATTTATTTCACAATTTACTTAATTGGTTTTAAATACGGTCTTAAAGTGTTATAATAAGGGCATTGTAATAAGAAGGGTTTGGTAAAATTTAGTATTCATAGATTTGTCGTTCTCTCAAGATGGTTCTAACTTACGTAAACAGTCAAAAATGTGCTAATATGTTAGTGTACAATGGCTTTATCCATAGAAAGGAGAAAGTGATAGGTGAAAAGACAATTTGGAAGTGTGCTCAATACAATAAATGGAAATGTACCGGAAGAGTTCACACTGTGGGAGATGAAGCAGTAAAAAGTACAAGCCACAACCATATTGCAGATGCAGCCAAATTAGAAGCAAAGAAAGCTTGTAATAAAATAAAAGAAATGGCGCAACAAGTTGAACTAACAACACAAGGTATATTAGCTACTGTTTTACAAGAAATTTCTTTAGGTGCAACTGGGCAATTACCATCCATTTCATCCCTAAAGCGGACTATTCAACACACACGTCAAAAAAAGGAAGCTATTCCAGCAAATCCTAGAAATTTATCCGAGCTTCTTATTCCAGAAGAATACACCATAAGCAGCAATGGCAAACCTTTTCTTTTATTTGATAGTGGCCCAAACGAAGACAGAATTTTGATTTTTTCCACCGAAAAAAATTTAACTTTTATGGAGAACTGTGATCACTGGTATGCTGATGGAACATTTACGTGTGCTCCTTTAATATTTGCTCAGCTGTATACAATCCATGGAGTACAGTACAGCAACGTTGTACCCACTGTATATGCTCTTCTTCCCAATAAGACTACCGGGACATATACACGCCTCTTTCAAGAATTAAAAACCTTAAGACCAGGTTTACGACCTGCAACAATAATGGTGGATTTTGAAAGGGCAAATTTATAAAGATACGGCGAAACGAATAAAATCCATTTGTGAACAATATGGCAATCGTCCAAATTTGGAATATTTAAGGGACATTGCTCATAACTTTAAACTTCAGAAATAAAAACCCAAAAAAATAAAAAACAAAAAAATACAAAAAAAAACCAACAAAAACTAGAAAAAACTAAAAAAAAAAAACTAAAAAAAACTTCTAAACACGCCAGGTAATATTACCTGCCAGTCCTAAGCCTGGATAAAGTGTGAAGGAAAGTTTGATTTTCCAATGCTTATTGGTAATTATCTAAAGTAATAATAAACAACAATAAAGGAGCCTTATAATGATGAAGATATAGATAATGAGGAATACTATAAAAGTTCTGGAGTCGATATTGTATTGGAGAATACGCTTCCTGTAACATTAGAAGAATGTTCCACTATGTATTTTGCAGGATACTTGATAACAAAATGTGTAGAAAAATTTAAATGCGATGAATGTCAAAATTATTTAGAAGAAAAAGAAAATATTTTGAATGATGAACACCAGTTACTCATTTTTTATAAAACTTATAATTTAAACGAGCAATCCAGCCTAAAATGTCCATCATCACTATTGGGCCAATTTGCTAGAATATCGCTACACATAAGAAAAGTATAGAAATCATGATTGTTTTCGACCTCGAGTTTTCGACGGATTTTACGTTTTGGGGTCCCCTGAATCCGTTTTCATTATTTTCGCGATGATGTCTGTGTGCGTGTGTGTGTGTGTGTGTGTGTGTGTGTGTGCGCGTGTGTCTGTGTGTGTGTGTGCGTGTCTGTATCCACCATAACTCATGAACCGATACACAGAAAAACACCAAATTTTAAACTTAAGCTTTATTCTAGCATCCAATGAACTGATTAGATTTTGGGCAGAGTCGGAAGATCTGGGGGGTACTTTATAGGTGGTAATTTTTATATTTTATGGAATATATGTTATTTACATTTGGAGAAGAAAATTCTTCTAATAAAAGTTACTTCTAATATTATTATCTATAATTTTTGTTCTATACAAAATTTTCCTAAAATGGTCCATATTCGAGAAATTTAACAAAATGTAAAAAAATAATTTTTTATAAAAATTGTTCAAATAAAAGTTGTTTGTAATATAATTCTCTATAATTTTTATTCTATACATAATTTCTCTAAAATTAACCGTATTCGAGATATTTGAGAAAATGTGTAAATTTCGAATTTTGAAAGCTCAAAAACGGAAAAAGAAAAAAACATTAAATTTTAAACTTAAGTTTTATTTCGGCCTGACGTAAAAAGATTAGATTTTGGACAAATTCGGAACATCTGGGGGGTACTTTATAGGAGGCCGTTTTTATATTTTATTGAATATATGTTATTTATGTTTGGAGAAGAAAGTTGTTTAAATAAAAGTTACTTCTAATATTATTATCTATAATTTTTGCCTTATGTCAAAATTTTCTGAAGTGGTCGGTATTCGAGAAATTTGACAAAATGTGCAAAATTCTGATATTTATGAAAATTGTGGCTTAACAGTCACATTATTTAGTCCTCATTTTATTTATTTCATAGGATATTTTACTCTTTACTGCTTCAGTTAATTTGGTTAACAAATGCTTCTCTATATTATCATATAGCACCTTTGTATTTTCTGTTGTACTAGTGATTTTATCAATGCTTTTTTATCTAAATGTAGAGCATTATTTTCATCTTGTAGTTTTCTTATTTCTCTTTGTAATTCTATGTTTTGATCATGTAAAATTTTGTTACTTATTTGTTGGGAGTTACGCCATAGTTTTTTATTGTCGCAATCAGTGCAAAAGAATTTTAGAATCCTCTGTCATCTGTTACAGTTATTGGTGAACACTCGTTGCAATAAACCTGGGAGCAAAAATCACATTTATTGTTTATAATCTTTTTCTCAGGTTCTAGTGATTGTTTACAAGTAAAACACTTTCATTTTATTTAAAAATTAAATGACATTTAATTTGCTACGTTTGTATGGTAAAATAGTAAACAAACAATATAAATAAATTCTCTGTTAACATAATGTAGTAAGCTTATAAAAGGTGCAGTCAATTAGTCAAGTTCCTTATACTCTTTAAACTCCAATCAACCCTTTTAGAGTATTTTCATTCCCCTTAGTGACAGTTCAAGAGACTTAAGTGTCGACTGAAAACACCATAAAAATATCTGCACCTGTCCCGCTACAACTCATGACTAACCAAACCCACCTAAAGAAATGTCTTTCTGAATTTTTTTACATTTATAAACAAAGTTTTAAGTAAAGATATGCAAATAATTCCATAGGAATCTGCTATCTTAAAATGACATTTAAATGTATTACCTTTTACCGAAATATATTACAATTTAGTATGCTTGTCAATTATGATTTTTTTTTTAACCAAAAAACAAGGCCATGATTGGTAGAAACATTTTTCAGACCTGGTAACAATTATTATTATAGCTAATCTCTGATGTTTCTGTTGAAAACTGATATAACATATCAGGAAGAATGTGATATTGATAAACTCTGGAATGCAGATGTGGAACAAAACTACAAATCATCAGCTTACTATCAAAACTTCACAAGTCTATGTTTTGAAGTTTGAAGTTTTTTATTAGTTCACATTCCTTTATCATTGACATATGATCTCATAAGTCTAGGGCGATTCAAAGCTCCATTTAGAGCATGAGCGTATTTAAAAGTGCCAGTCTCATATTAAGACAAATTAAATATTTTTTGTATTGCCTGTAAAATCACTCTAATAAGGTTTTAATAGTAAGCTGACAAAATGCTGGATCATTCTTTAGTTTCTGCTCTTTCCACTCAAGAAAAAACTAAGAATATATACTCAGAGTTATCACTATTTTAAGCAAAAAGTCATAGTTCCATATCTTGTGCAAATTAATAATGAATCAATAAATTTTTTTACATAAAAATATTTCATAAATTGTCTCAATTCAAAGCTCAGAGATGCTACTTTTTTGTCTTACACTGTTGCCAAGTCGTACAAAAAGTTTACCATTGAATTATTTAGTATAAAAAGCACAGCAATTCATCTCCAATAATTTTCCTTGCCCTAATAATATTTTTTAATATGAATATTGACGTTGTTTTTCCCACCCAGCACCCCTATTCACTCCTTTTCCCATAAAATTGATAAAATTAATATACAAAATGTCATATTTTTATTTAAAATAAGTTATTTATGTCATTATTCATTTGTACAAGATATGGAACTTAGCTTTTTTGTTTAGAATATCAATACCTATAACTATTAGTTTTTCCATAGTCGAAAAGAGCTCAAACTAGACATTTACTAAATGCTGATTTGATGAAACCTTTGTATATTCTACACAAAAAAAATAGGTCGCCTTTTAAACAAAAATGCTTGGGTGCTAAAATACAAATGCATAACCTAAAGATAAATAAAAATCATTACCTTTTAAAAAATTGTACATTGGATTTCGCATCCTCAATGATGTTCTGGGATTTAAATTCTTTGCCACTGAAATGCTAAATGTCATATCATCTGAATCGGACTGGTGGAAGCTTACTAACTTATTTCGATGTTTTTCAGTCCTGATTTCTGAATTACTACTTGAACTAGCATCTGAATTGTCACCAGGCTTGTTTACATACAAATCTGAAAGGTAACTTTTATCTTGTGGGACAAAATGTTTGCCTAAATATTTACGTAAATTTCCCGCAGATCTTGTTCTTCGTCTCATTCCCCATTTACCAGCGCTTACGATGTTTATAGAAACACAATTCTCGGATTCTTCTAAGGCAACAGTCAAATCTTGAGCTAAATGATCCATTATATTTTAATGCTTACACTTAAATTTAAACATATAACATAGTCTTATCTATTATTTTTTGAAACAATATTATTTCATAATCGCTAGGTATTAATTTTTTCTAAAAATGGACTCACAAATTCAATAAAAAATAAAAATCAATTTAAAGTCGATTCACAAAATGTTATGTTATGACTGCTCCTTGCCAATGTCACTTAAATTGACAAATACACTGACATCTGACCATAGCATCTGACATAACTATGGATTTTTTAGAACAGGGTGCGTTCGTAAATCGAGAGCGTCAAAATTTTAATCGTCCGGACCAGTGAACTGTATAGTTTAGTGATACGAACGGTAAATGCAAATTAGAGATTATAGGAATTATCAAAAATTAGTAAATAGGTATAAACATTGGCGTCCACATAAACTTTTTTATGTAAAAATTCAATTCATTACCTTTAATCCTGTGTAAAATAAAATTTTATCATTTTCTATAATGAAATTACCATCGTTTCCGGGCAACTAGACGATAATTGATAGAATTAATTTTCTCACTCATACTCATATTAAAATAATTTTTAATCAAAAAGTAAAAAATAAATTATCCTACTCAACATGGTGGGTAAAATTTCTTCATCCCGACGCGTTTTTCTTTTAAATAGGAACGGCTGAGGTAATTCGTCCAGATAAAACGTTCCACATTTAAGAACGATTTTTAGAGTTTAAGGCTGTATGTCACGATACTAAATTAAGTACTAAACTTAGCACTAAATTAAGTCATTAATTTAGTACTAAATTTAGAACTAAAAATTTCCGTTTGCAACGATACCAATTTTTAGTACTAAATTAACTATAGGCGCACGCGCATTGGCGTATTAATACGTGAAATAAGCAGAGAAATGAAATATTCTGGGTAAAACAGACAAGTGAAGTAAATGGTGTTTTTATTATCAATTTGACATGACAACAACCAAATACAGCAATGCCACTATAAACCACGAAAAAAACACAATTAAATCTACAAAATCAAACAAGCGAACTTTATTCAAGTCGATAATGCAAAATGTTCGCTAATTAAAAACAGAATGGTATAGAAAATACCGTCGTGTCAATTTTTTCTGTGAAAAACTTCTGCGCAACATTTCGACGCACTTTTAGTACTAAATTTAGTAGAAAATAGAACAAGTTCTAATTATTTAATGACTTTTTTTAGTACTAAATTTAGTACTAAATTTGCTGTTTGCAACGTAAATTTTTTTAGTACTTAAAAAATGCATTAATTTAGTTCTATAGTCTTTAGACAACGTCCGGACGCATTTACGGGGTAAATGTAGGGTAAACTTTACCCTACATTTCTGAACGCACCCCAGCAGCTGTTTGGAGGAGATTCGGAGCAGTAAATTTATAAGATTTGAGTTAAAAGCCAGTGTCGCATCATCCTTACGGGGTTTGAAATTAATATAAAATATACCTTAATTCACTTTTTAAACATGTTTTATAGACTTGTATTTAAGTAGTAATAGTAAATAATAATTTTTTAAATGAAATATATAATTCATAGATCTTTTTTATATAAAAAATAAATCGGTATCTAACTATTTAATTAGATGTAGGTATTATCTTGATTTCAAGAAATAATTTAATATATTTCTCATGAGTGCGATAATGAAAAATATTTTGTTTGATCAGGAGGTATATAAAGGAAAAGTTAAAATTGAAATATTAGGCAATTAGTAAGATGTTATATACACGCAATATACCATAAATAAATGGAAATAACATATTCATTGCTTTTTAAATTACTCGACTTTTTAAAAAAAATAAAAACCTATTATATCGGTACAATGAGAAATAGCGGTCCAAAATACAAACGACTGAGTCAGATAAATTTTTCATAATGATTAACTATGTTTGAACAATTTAATATTTCTAATTAAATAAATTGTCTTCCATTAGAAACATTCTAAAATATTTCTCTGATGTTTTACATACAATATTAATGGTGAATTTCGGAATAATTTAAATTTACCGCGCATCAAACGTTTTAAAATTGCGCCAGCATCGCGGACTGAGTTATGTGCTGTGCGCGAACGAGTCCCGACTTCGTATCGAACATCAGCCAGATATAGAGCTTTGGTACTTCACCCAGTTCGGTTATAAACTATTTATATCCTAATCACACATGTATTTTTATTAAATGAATAAATTCGTTAAATGTAAAAGTGTTACATTATTATCAATGAGAAAATAATAGCATTTAAAACACAAAATATATCCATGGTCCTTCGTCACCGAATGCATACAATTTTGTAACCAGTGCAGTGATAAACTATCAGAATCTTCGAGGGTGAAAAATAAATGTACCAGCTATCATCAAGTCCAGCTCCCGGTGAGTTCTTTCCTTTTTATCAATATCCTGTCATAGTCCCGAAATAATTTAATGGTTGGGATTTGTATAGGATTTTCGTAATATATTTTTATATTATAATCACATCAAATTATTTTTGTAATATATTTTTATATTATAATCACATCAAATTATTTTCGTAATATATTTTTATATTATAATCACATCAAATTATTTTCGTAATATTTTTTATATTACAATCACATCCAAATTATTTTCGTAATATTTTTTATATTACAACCACATCAAATTATTTTCGTAATATATTTTTTATATTACAATCACATCAAATTATTTTCGTAATATTTTTTATATTACAATCACATCAAATTATTTTCGTAATATATTTTTATATTATAATCACATCAAACAAATTATTTTGTTATATATTTCCATATTAATATATTTATCCAAATAAAAAATTAAAAATCACAAATTAATCAATTTAACAAAATGTCAGACGAAAAAACTCTAAAAGAATTAATTTTACAAAGAGGAATTTACAAAGGTCAATTGACAAAGCTATCCAATTTTTTAGACACTTTTATATCTGACAATGAACAAATAACAATTTTAACCAAAAAACTTGAAAAGACAGAGTTATTATGGGAAAAATTCCAAGAATGTCAATTAAATATTCAAATCATTAAAGACGATGAAACACAAGTTATAGAGAGAGATGAGTTTGAAGATATTTATTACAAAGTTACTGCAAAAGCACAACAACTAATTGATGAATTTCATAAGGAAAATTACGAACAATCTGTCGCATCCAGTCACTCAGCTACACCCTATAACAATACTAACAATATGAGAAGTGTTAAATTACCTAAAATCGATTTGCCAAAATTTGACGGTTCTTATTCAAATTATGAACAGTTTTTTGATTCATTTCAATCAATGATCGACAATGATGAATCTTTGCCAAATCACCAAAAGCTTCATTATTTAAAATCATGTTTAACAGGTGATGCTTTGAAGGTAATTGACTCATTAAAGGTAACTGACGTTAATTATGAAATAGCTTGGAAATTAATTAAAGAACAATACGCAGACAAACGGGCTATAATGAATAGTCATTTTAAAAATTTATTTGATTTACCAGTTATGAACAAGTATACTCCTGATTCATTAAAGCTATTTTTAAACACTATTCAAAGGGAAATCAATTGTTTGAAAGACCTTTTACCATTTATTGATGATAATGTCATGTTATACTTATTCGAATCAAAATTAGATCAAACCACAAAAATCGCATGGGAAGCAAATATTGAACAAGAGAAAACAACTAATAATAATGAAACATTACCAACAATAGAAAAATTCGAGAAATTTTTAAAATCTAGATTAAAAGTTATTGAAAATGCTATCACGAATCAAATCAAAGTTTACGATAATCATTCTCTTCCAAACAAAAGATTTAATAAAATAACAGAAAATAAAACATTAGTGCATTTTTCAACAAATAAAACGAAATGCATTATTTGTGGCCAAACACATTTTGTTTATCAATGTAAGACATTTTTAGACTTAGCTATACCCGATAGATTAAAGGAAGTGAAAAAACATAAATTATGTATAAATTGCCTACGTTCAAATCACTTTTCAAACGAATGTCTATCAACATCTGCTTGCAGACGCTGCAATAAAAAACATAACACATTACTTCATCTTAACGACTTTCGACCCATTTCTAATAGCCATATAACTCGAGGACATTCTGAAATTCAATCGGACACGAATGTAAATAATATACAGAATGAAAATTCCAACATAATTTCAACTCATTCATCACAACCTAATAAATCTCAAATATTATTATCTACAGCTGAAATTTTAATATATTGTAAAAATAAACAACCCATTAAGGTTCGATGTTTGCTGGACTCAGGCAGTCAAAGCAATTTTATTACCAGTGATTTAGTTAACAAATTGCAATTAAAACCATTTAAAATTAATATACCCATTTCTGGCGTGAATCAATCAATTACACAAATATCATATGGTGTCAATACTAAAATAAAATCAGTGCACAATGGTTTTGATCGGCAACTTACTTTCCTCGTGTTAGATAATATCACTAATTATTTACCGGGTGAAACATTTAAAATCGATTATTTAAATATTCCACAAAATCTTACTTTGGCTGACCCAGAGTTCAATAAATCACAAAAAATTGATTTGTTATTAGGCGCACAAATATTTTTCGATTTATTGTGTATTGGACAGATTAAATTAGGTCCAAACCAGCCTACTATGCAAAAAACACATCTTGGTTGGATAATTTCAGGCCCAATGAAGGCCAGCTATGGTGAACATTGCCTTTTAGCAGTAAACAAGAAAACAAACTCCAACGAACAAATTCAAAATACATTAGAGAAATTCTGGTCAGTCGAGGAAATTTCTGAACACAATACTATATTAAATAAAGATGACCAATATTGTGAAAAACATTTCACTGATAATTTTAAATTTGAAAACAATCATTTCGTTGTTTCATTGCCTACTAAACCAAATTATATTGATTTAGGTGAATCATTCGAAAGTGCCAAAAAACGTTTCTTTCAGTTAGAAAAAAGAATTCATTTAAATGCAGAATTTGGAAAAGCATATTCAAATTTCATGCGAGAATTTGAAGCACTTAATCACATGACCAAACTCAAAGAACATGAAATAGACATTTCTGATAAATTATTTTACTTGCCCCATCATGGCGTATTTAAAAATAGCAGTGTTTCGACAAAAATAAGGGTAGTATTTGATGGCTCAAATAAGAGTTCCTCAAACTTATCACTAAATGACGTTTTATATGTGGGTCCGACTATACAAGACGATTTGTTTTCTATATTAATTCGATTTAGAAAATATTCAGTTGTCTTAAAGGCCGATATAACTAAAATGTATAGACAGGTTTATATCGAACCAAAACAA